TGACAGTTAAGTACATTTGGTTGATTTTTTTTCTCAGACAACTGTGAATTAGGAAATGTTATATAATGTGAACTTTTACGTTCTTATTTTTTTTAATATATACAGTATTCTTTTTGCTTGGATGTTTTTATAAATGCAAGTGAAATGAAGTCTTCATGTAAAAGGTTACTGGAAACAGGCTACAATAAAAGGAACTCTGTTGCATGATCCAGAGGAAAATAATACCTTTCTTCATGTAGCCGCTATGGCCCACTATGCCAGACCCAAGAACTCGATAGTCCATAGCAGTGGTTCCCAACCTTTGGTCCTCCAGGTGTTTTGACCTTCAACTCCCAGAAATCCCAACACCTTATCAAACCACCAGTCTATAGGCACTATAGGTTCTATGGCACATCCTGAAGGGGTGCATGATTGCATGGAGGAGGGAATCCTGAAAAGAGTATTCTTCCATCATCAGATCAACATATACAGATTCTAGCCTTGGCTTTCATGGAGTTTATTGTACAGTAACATACAGGCAGTCCTCGAGTTACACACACCCAATTTGTATACGGCTTCTGGTTACCAATGGGGAGAGATAATAGGAAGTGAGAGGAAATTTACCCCTAGGGAAATTCACTCCTGTAAGAGCTATCATGGGGGAAAGGTGTCTCCACTGAAGCCTTACCATCAATCCTTGTTTCCATGACAAGCCAAAATTTTCAAAGTCCAATTGTCACAGGGGCAGAAAGTGAGGTAAAATGTATTATTTATTATTTATTTACAGTATTTCTATACCGCTTTTCTCACCCCGAGGGGGACTCAAAGTGGTTTACACATAAGTAATGGCAAAATTCAATGCCAGTACTAACAATTACTATTATACACTACAATTAAACATAAATCAAATTAAAACAATACATCCATAAGCAGTAAAACAATCATTAAAACAATAAAACAGTCTCCTTCGTCAAATCACCGCTCCAGTCATTGTCTTCCTGAAATGCTGCATACATTTACTTCTACTGCCCGAAGGCCTGGTCCCAAAGCCATGATTTGATTTTTTTTCCCTAAAAGCCAGGAGGGGGGCTTCTGAACAGGGACACAGACAGCTAAAAACATTACAGGGGCATTAATCTTTATTTCTCATTACAGGGGCATTAATCTTTATTACGCTCTGGTTACATCCCATTTAGACTACTGCAACGCTCTCTACGTGGGGTTGCCTTTGAAGACTGCTCGGAAGCTCCAACTAGTCCAACGCTCGGCAGCCATGATTTTAACAGGAGCGGAGCGCAGGGAGCATACAACCCCCCTGTTGCGCCAACTCCACTGGCTACCGATCTGCTACCAGGCTCAATTCAAAGTGCTGGCGTTGGCCTTTAAAGCCCTAAACGGTTCCGGCCCAAGCTACCTATCCGACCGCATCTCTGCCTATGAACCCACCAGGACTTTGAGATCTTCCGGGGAGACCCTGCTCTCGATCCCGCCTGCTTCTCAAGCACGGCTGGCGGGGACGAGGGATAGGGCCTTCTCAGTGGTGGCTCCTCGGCTGTGGAAAGCCCTTCCTACGGACATTAGACTAGCACCATCTCTAATGGTATTCCGCAGGAAAGTGAAGACCTGGCTGTTTGAGCAGGCGTTCGAATAATTAGTGCAATGATTGGTTAATGAACACTGGAATGGAACAATGGATGACGAATCTGGAACATGTTTTTGATGACGAGACGACAGTGAATGGGTATTGTAGTGACTGTTTATTAATTGTGTAATGTGTTGGGTTGTTGGCTGTTTTTATACTGTAGCACTGAATTTTTGCTGTTCGTATTTGTTGTGAACCGCTGTGAGTCGCCTTCGGGCTGAGAACAGCGGTATATAAGGTAAATAAATAAATAAATAAATAATTTCTCTATGCTATCCAAAACTAATCAAAGTATTTTGGTTGAAGTTACACTTAAAATTTACCTGTTCTGACTTACATTTAAATTCGAATTCAACAAAGCTACAGAACCAATCTTGTTCATAACTTGGGGATTGCCTATATATACTTTTAGCTTCTTAACCAGCTATGTGAGATTAAAACTGAGAAAAAGGAAACGTGTCACGTATTCTGCTTCATGACTACAGGAGTTTTTTATATAATTGTATAAAAGCAAAGGTATGTGACCATACGTATCTCTGTACAACTATATAACACAGTGGTTCTCAACCTGGGGTCCCCAGATGTTTTTGGCCTACAACTCCCAGAAATCCTAACAGCTGATAAACTGGCTGGGATTTCTGGGAGTTGTAGGCCCAAAACATCTGGGGACCCCAGGTTGAGAACCACTGATATAACAGTAATGCCAATATTTTTGCATCTCTGCTTCATGTACTACTGTAATAGTAATTATTCTCTTCTAATAGTTATGTTATAGTGTGACAAAATATACGGTTTGTTCCCAAAGTGGTATCTCTTAGTTCAACAAAGTCTAAAAACCCTTCTAGCATAGAGTATTGTCTGGACTAGAAACCTTCTTTAAGTGCTACCACCAGGCAAAGTGAGGTGGCTTGTCACTAAAAAAAAAAAAGCAGCAATAGTTAAGGGTTTGGGGGAAGAGAAGATTGTGAGATGTCATAGCATGCAGAAATAAGCCCAATGAGGAGAATCTGCGTTTAAATTCAAAGGGAATTTCTTTATAAGCATGTGCAGCTGTTACCTGCAAGACCTACATAACTTGAACTTAAAAGATGATCTAAGCTTTTACAGTGCTGCAGCAGCCAAGTGCCATTGAACTGGTTACCCTAGATAAGTCAATTTGAAATATAGTGATAAAGTTGCAGTCTGAGAATTTTGCAAAGTTCATTCTTTAGCAGCTGTGAATGGGTTCTTATATGGAGATGGGCTAATGGCAACCTCACAGCAATTGGATTATAGCAGAATCTGGAGGCTGAATGTTTTGGCAGTGTCTCTAAAAAATCAGCAGGATCAAAATTTTGAGGATAACATCCAAATTATGACCATGAATCTGGATACCCTTGTTTTTCTGCAGTATTTAAATAAAGACAGACAAAATGTCAAATCTACAGACTACATGTGCATACTATTATGTATATGGAGTTCCTTCATGCCATGGCTTTCTCTGTTTGGTTCACCAGAGGGAGCAGCTCTGCATGCATGGAAGTAAAACATTTCCTTATCCACTAAACTGAACAGGAAAATTTCTGTGAAGGGAGACTCTCCCTATGAATCAATTCAATCAGAACTTTCATATGCACAATAGTTGGATTGTTGTGTCAGAATTATTCAGGGCATTCTAAAATGGAAACATTATAATCACATATTTAATAAGCAATGAAATATAGGGAGAAGGACTAACACAACTTAATATAGAGTAAATCCCTCCTCAAAAAAGTTGTTTAAAGTTCACAAGCCTCACCTGCTATAAGTCATTTACATGGGCTATTTCCCAACTGCTATGGAGGAATGATGTTGTAGATCATGGCCTTCATCATAAGAAAGCTGGAGGAGGAAGGAACTTTCCCAACTTGAAAACTCTAGGTCCATTTCAAATGAAGGCCAGCAAATCCCATAATATATGCACAACATGTATGAAGACAAAGAATAATATCTTCCCATAAAAATATTCCCAATGTAAATTGAGCCTGTTTTATTTTATTGAGATAATAGGTTGCAGTTTGACCCAAGCCATTCTTGGCTCTTCAGACTTTGGCAAGTGTACCCTTTTATACAATCTCTCCTTGGGTTCTGGACTCATCCCACTTGGAGGATTGCTCCAAAGGCATCCTTCCATCACTGCTGTGTTCTCAGTCTGAAAGAAGAAGAGACCTCATACCATCCCCTCATTGCTGCCTCCCTTTCCTTGTGTGTCCTGTCTTTTTTTAGATTGCAAGCCCAAGGTCAGGGAACTGTCAAATATACTTTGGGAGGGGGGTGGGCTGCCGTTACAAGTAGAGCACTAATACTCTAAAGAAATAAAGCAGAGTAATACTACATTTCCACTCCAGATAAACATGCAGATAAACATCAAATAGGCATCTAGAACAATGCCCATGTTCTGGCATGCTGCACCAATTGTATCGCCACATAAAATATTCTGGGGGGGGGGGGAGGGGCTGCTGCTACATGCAGAGCACTAATACTCTAAAGAAATAAAAAAGAGCATTACTATACAGCATTTCCACTCCAGATCAACATGCAGATAAACATCAAATAGGCATCTAGAACAATGCCCATGTTCTGGCATGCTGCACCAATTGTAACGCCACATAAAACACAGCAAAACACTGGAACTAAAATACTGACAAAGTCCTCAAAGCAAAGCAGAAGCAACACATCACTGCAAGTGCCCAAAGAGGGGGCCATTTTTTTAAAAGAAGGGGAGGGGGGAGGGAGGGATGTTTTATGTTCATGAAATTCAGTTTGGTTGTTCATCTCAATTCTAATTATAGTCCAACTAGATTTTTCCCCTTTGTGTAAAGAATTCGTATATTTATTTATTGCCATTTGTCTATCTTTCTGGGCAAGTGATATATATATCTACTTAGAATGTTTATTTTTCTCTCCCTTACTAATATTATAATGATAATATTGCTAATGTAATGCATTCAGTAATGTCTACCTTCTAATAATCAGTCTCAGCATTTCTATCACAAATCAAGACTAAGATTTTCTTACTATATGTTATTTGCATATAACATATAAGTATGTGAAATGCAAACTGATACACACACACAAATGTAAATAGATATTTAAAAGAGAGGTAGATTCTAGTATATTAACTAGAGTATATCACACTTGGCAATGTTTCTGATCAAACCAAAAACATATTTGGCATCATTTACAGGATGCAGGCAGGAATCAGGCCTTCAGCCATCCTCAATTGTCTTGCTGCAGCACAAGGATGACAAAGAGAGACATGGCCCACCAAAGTATTGCAGTCCTAAACTCGAAATAAATTCCCTTTTGCCTATATGTTACATTTTTGAAGAGAACTTTTAACACACCATTATTTCAAATGTTTTTCCAGCTCAAGGCAAAAAAATATTGACAAAATTCTACCTTTAAGACAGTTATTGTCTCTTTATGTTTGAGAGCACCCTTCAAAAGTTCACCTGCCAGTATTAAATCCTTGGTTTGGGAAGGGAAGGGAAGTTTTAAGCATTCCAAGCTGTTTTACTGTAGAAGACACTCAAGTAACAAATCAAATTGTTCTTTCAATTAAATCGGTTCAATGCTTTCAGAAAAGAACTGTCCTTCCCTGATTCCAAAAGAAACAACAATTTAGAAACAATCTAAAGATTTTACTAGCTTCAAGAGTGAAGGGCTTCCTTTGCTTTCTTATTTCTGTCATCCACAATTTGTGTAACAACATAAACCCTAACAATGTTTGCTAGAAACTATATTTGTTTTTAAATAACTATACTAGCTAAAATAAGAGCATTTTTAAAAGCCAATTTAATGTGATTTTTATGCAAGTGACTAACACCTAGCAAACTTGTAAAAAACGCAGTGGGACCGGGAACTAACATAAAAGTGGGTTGTTGTAGGGTTTTTTGTGCTATATGGCCATGATCTAGAGGCATTTTCTCCTGACGTTTCGTCTGCATCTATGGCAAGCATCCTCAGAGGCAGTAACATAAAAGTATTTTCAGTAGGGCTATTTCGATTGTGGAATGACTTCTCCAGTGTGGTTTGACAAGCAACAATCTTTAAGGCATCATCCATGCATCATTTTCAACATCTTTTGTGCACTCTTCACCAGCATTGCTTCCATTATGGAGGTTTTTAAAATAACTCATATTACCAAAATTTCTCAAGGTTTAATATCTGTTTATAATTTAGGGTGATTTGTGATTTGTCATGTTGTTCTATTTTCCAGACTGCACCTTTTAAGATTTTATGTTATATTTTGTATTTATATTTGTTTATTAAACACAAAAAGTATGTTATGGGAAAGCATACAAATGCCATGAACAAATAAAGATAATGATGGGCATTGGGCGGTTGCTGAACAAAATATGGAACTACGGCTATAAGTTTAATCAAGCCTAACACTGGCACTTTTCATACTGGGACATTTGCCCATATAGCAAGGCCCATCTGTGTTATCACTTGCACAGTCTTCTCCTTAGCATCCTCTGACACTTGGAAACAGCTTCAGCCACCATTTCTCTGTGTTAGGAACAACAGCATGTTCAACAGTATCTCCCATTCTATTATGTTTGAGCCTGGATTAAGTACTATGAGTCTCATGGCCATTTATGGCAAACAAAATTCCACACGTAAGATGTCAAATCTGTTTATATGTATATATACTCTTGATATAGATATAAATATATATTTGTATGTAACTAAGGTATGACTACTAGGATATGATTGCTCATTCTCATCTCAATCAAAGCACAGGAACAGGAATTCAACAGGGCCAGCAAAGGCATCAAGATGTGGTCAAATGAAAAACAAAAAAAGGCTGATTAAACCATTCCTCATTTGAAATGCATAATATGAATACTTTGAAGATGAACACATGAAGACCAGAAGAATATTACTTTACAAAGTAAAAGCTTACAAGCTATGCATTTAACCAGCACTTTGGAAGACTGTTGTAAAATGCATGACATTAACCAGAACTTGAACTAAAAGAAGACCTTTATTTACCATTGTCTTACATAATATTCTCTAACAATATGGAATTGCTTTACAGTTTTCTTTAAGGACTGGAAAAGGGCAGGGGGTTTTTGCTTTATATCATCAGTCCCCTGTATCACATTGCTGTGGAAGAAAGAAAAAGAAATGTATCTGTATACAGTACGCCTCTTGTGTGGTGGAAAGCTCAGAATCACATACTAGGCTGTAAACTGTGCTACGTTCAATGGAAATGATACCTGTTTAAACTCAGGAATGCACTGCATAGTGCTCAATGGTGATGCTAAAATAAAACCTTTTTATTACATTTATACTGGGAGGGGGAAAACAATTTATGTTGGCAAGAACAAAAGACCCACTAAGGAAAAGGAGTCCTCATTCCAAATTTGTAATGGAAACATTATTAAATAACATTTTAAGCTAAGAAGATATCTACAGCTTCTTTTGGCATCTGCAATGTTGTGTACATTGTGTATATACTACCTGCACTCAGGGGCTCCAGGAATGCAAGAATTTAACACAGAATCACCACACACATGCCTTTTAGCCTCAAATACTCTGACACTATTTTTTTCATTTAAGCTTGCTTTCAATTTGTATAATGATAAGCTCTGACAAACTCAGTATTTGCCCCTCATAAGAAAGTGATACTTCTGTTCACAGGATAGTAAAGTCTCAGACTTGCACAAGTTTTTTGCTGGTGAGCAAGATTCTGAAAGAAAACTTGTAAAAAGGAAATCTGCAGTCTCTTAAGTATTTCCTATTTCAACAGCCAGCAAGGAATTTGCATTAAGATCTTCTCTTTTTCTAGCATCAGGGAGTAACTAGCAGAATATAAAGCAGAAATGCTTTCACTTAGCATCGTACAATCCTTAGGGGTCTCAGGTGCTGTGGCATCACCTTCTCTGGAGTGTTGTCATGCTAAATGCAGAATTGAGGATTTCCCTGCTGCTTCCCTGCATTCAGCTGGGGCCACTCCACTTCACATCACTACTTCCTCAGCTCTCATCTTCCCTCTTCACTCAACCCTCTTCTAGATGAACAAACCCAGAGTTCTGTACCTTTTCTCTTTGATCTGCAGTTGTGCCAAGGTTGCTTCAGGCTTTCCCCATATCACTTAGCCCATTCCTGAGGCTGCCACACCAACATTAGCTTCTCCTGTAGTGCAGAAGGATTGAAAGGTCTACCCAGTTCTTTACACTGGCTTTCGATTTCCTTCAATAACATTTGAAATTCAAAATAGTTTCTTTCCAATGCATTGGCTACAATTTTCCGTGCTCTCTCCCCCCCCGAAAAAAAAAAACCCTACATGCAACAAAAAGCATTCTGCACTGCTTTGAAGTTCTTGTGTGATACTTTGTAGAATGATGTTCATTGGATCAATGAAAGAAATGCCAACTGGGGTTAGGATTTGGGTTAGTAGGGGTTAGGATTTTGCCAATAGGAAACATCTAGTACTTGCAGAAATCTCCTTCTGTGATTGGAACTCTTAGCAGAGCAATTTAGACATTATAGCACAGTAGCCTCCGAAGTGAAATAGGCAGCAAAAGGGAGGAGTGGATTTGAAAAAGGAACCTTCAGCCAATTCACATTTATTTTGGATTTGTATACGTTCCTTCAAAACAGCCCACTGCTGCCTCTTGGCCCTCTTCCCCTGACAAAGAGTGGGGATGAACTGTAGAGTAGGCAAGGGTAATCCTTTCCACCACAGACTGCATGTCTGCCCCTTAAATCATCAAAAGTATCATTGTGCCAGTCCCAGTTCAGGAACTGGTCAAATTACAGCTCATATTTGTTTATTATTTAGTGATATTTAATAGTACCAACAATTTTTCATGTCTAAGTAATTATAAAATGAAGTGTTATATATAAGTTAGTCCCCATGAGGAGAATGGTGGGGTGTAAATAAAGTAAATAAATAAATATTCTGAAATTATTATAAATAATACATTATGAAACGGTATATGAAACTTTTGGGTTTTGTTTTTTTCAGGACACCTGGGATGGGTCTACATTGACACTAAATTCAATATAGGAAGTGGATTAAAAGGAACCAGTTCTATTGTGGAGAGTCTACTCAAACACCCCAGGAACCGACTCAAGGCTGGGATGGTGGCCACAATGGCCACAGATACTGAATCGAACCAAACACAGGAACCACGGTATCTGCAGCTAGACAGCCACTGGAAAATGCAGGGTTTCCCTCCTTAACCAGCCCCCTGAGATGCGCTGATATGGATATCCACATCCATTTGGGATCACCCATTTCAAACCTTGTATGGGCTGTGGCGCATTATCTGGCTTATTCTGGACTTCCTGGTTAGTTTTTTTAACAAACCATTTTAGCTTGATGCACAATGCAGTGCACATTGGGGATGTATATTTTGTGGAAACCCAACTCCCTGTGTCAGCTTTGAACCACCATTGTAGTATCTGTGCAGAACCACCCCTTGTTCTTCCTCCTGACACTGACTAGCCCAAGCACACCTCTTTGTAGACAGCAGAAATCCTACTCATCTGAGAACCGGCAATTATAAGGGAACAAATTATGAACCCAAATTCTTCAAACTGATCAAAGTAAGGATACATATAGACTTGGTTATGCTGCAGCCCCCTTGCCCCTTCCCCACTTCTTCAAACAGTTACATCAGCTACACCTTAGTGAGTCACTCCATAACCCCTATGGTTCTGAGACTGGCTGCCTTCGGAGCTTTCTTCACCTTGCTTTAATTTGGTATGTCTCTCTTCCTCCTCCTCAAAGCTCTACTATCCAATCACCTGTTTCCTCCACACTGGACACTGCATGAATATTCAGACACTTTGAATATCTACCCTGACATACATTTTGCTGTGAAAAACAAGACATGTCAAGGAAAGGGGCAATGCCAAATTTTAGATGTGAAAAAGGGCATATCTGAGAAAAGGAGAATGTTAGGTAACCACAGGATTAAAACAGTGGGATGTGGGTTGAGAATTGAACTACTTGTCTGTAAATGGTTAGAAAGTAGCTTCAGCTCTTCAGAGAACAGAAGGGTAATGAACACATAAAGGAGGGGAAATGACAGCAATGACGGTGGCAAATAGCAACATTAGCTAGGTGCAATCAGATAAAGGAGAATTATGAGTGAAGTTACATAGGTTCTTATTTATTTTTTATTTTATTCCAACAAGTAAATTAATAAATGCTGTTTTTGCATTAAACCATTCTCTGTTGCCCTTTGATACAAATAAATGTAGTTACTGCAAGCTGGTTTGAAGCACTGGGTCATAGTCTATCAATCTGTCTATCCAACCATAAATACTTACTAAATAATTATGTTATAGAAAGGTTTCATTTTAGTGCATTCAAATAATAGCACCATACCTAATACTAGAGACTAGTAATCCAAATATGAAATCAGCATCTTGATCTCCATGAATTCTATCACACTACACTTTATAGCACTTTATGATTCCACATTAACTGTCATAACACCACCATATGGAATCTGGGATCTTTAATTGAAAGAGGGACATTTAGAGTCCTTAGACAGAGAGCTCTTAGGCCTCACTAAACTACAAACCCCAGAATTTCAAAGGATGCAGCTATGGCAGAAATAATAGTACTATAATAATGTAATGTGAGAGGGCCCTAAGTGTAAAAGCAGAATCTTGATCTTCAAAACTTTTTTCCAAAACCTGCTTATTGCAAGCAATGAAATGACAACCAGGAGTTGGGAGCCAAGATCGCTCTAAATCGGCTGCTAGGAAACTATTCACAGCACTGTGTCATTAAAATATTGTAAAAAACTTAGCATCAAGTATCTGATTGCCAACTTCTCCTTCACTATATTCACACTCGAGACTATGTAACTGTTTAGAGTGGGTAGCATTTGTGAATTTAGCAGATTCAAAGCATTTATACTTTTTTCCTTAAGAATGTATTGGCAAAGTCAGCACATAAAATCCTACAAAGTCAGAAGGGCAAAAAAAGCAGCAAATCAAATATACTTTTGCAAGCATGAAGGAAAATCCTAAACACTATACAGATTGTCAAGGGCTTGTCAACCTAGCACTTCCACTCAATGAAAACATAACAATGAAAGCAATTTCAATGTTTTTGCAGCCGAAACATCCTCACAACTAACACAAGCAAAAACTTTAATTATATTGAATTCAAGCAACAAAGTCACCGTTGCACTATTTCATTACTTGTATATCTGTTGAATTTATTAATTGCTATGGTCTTTAGGCGTTATTAATCAAAGAAGTTTTATCATTTCAGTGCAATTCTGAGTTCATCTATTATAGAAAGGTATATTGTTTGTAAGCATTTATATTTAAACCCTCTTTTTATACCTGAAGAAAAATAAGCAACTAAAACTGCTTTTAGTTATACATTAAGATAAATAGAACTCAACAGACCAGATTACAACTACCAGTATTGTCTAGAACTAGTTGCTGCAGAATCACGGGTTGCCAGTTTAACAATACTCCTCTGAAATATGCTTGTGTAACTTCTAGACTTGAATTTACAGATTTCTAGGTCTTTCAGATCTGAGCTACTCAAGCTACTGAGCTACTCAAGAAAAAAATAGAAGTTAAATAATCTTCAATGTTGGGAAAGATCAACAAAGGTCAAATTCACTCAGCAGTGTCACTTTTGTGTGAAGTCAGACCTACTATATAGGGGCTTTCGATTTACTACATCCAGTGTAACATATACCATGTACTGCTTAATACCCAAACTTTTCTTTAAAAAAATATTTTTATTGAAAATTTTATGAGTAAAATAAAATAAAATAGAAAATAGAAAATAGAAAAGGAAAAAAAAGAAAAAAAGAAAGGGATATAGCAAAAACCCCAGTGCCAAAAAAGGGGAAGAAAAAAAAGAAAAAAAGAAAAAAAAACTCTTCTGTACCCAAACTTTCTTGATTTTTTACAGATTAGAGTAACAGCAGAGACTATTTGTTTATGCAGTCTATGTTGTCTCTCATACCATGTCATAATCACTTCCTCTTGGGTCTCTTTGAGTTTCCAGTTTAATCATCAAGTATAAAATTGGGACCGTTTTAATGACACTGATGCTCTCTGAAAGATAAGGAGGTACTAAGGTCACTTGTTCATAAAAATAGTAAAACCATCAAAACTATAAAGCGGGGAAGATGAAGGGGAAAGACTAGATGAAAAGCGAACTACAATTTGGCTCCATACCTGCAACTGTAATAAGAGAATGTGAAAAAGTATAGAATTCTTACAAAAGAGACAAAACTTCAATTCCTAAGCAAACTAAAGCTATCAATATTAGATGAATTAGGGAAGGCAAACTATGCAGCTAACTACAATATGGCTCGGTATATCCATTTACTCATATCCAACAAAATACAGTATGTTCTCTTCAGGCATATTCTACCTGATTCTGTAGCATTCTTGAATTGGAAGTCCCTGTTATCTACACTTTCACATATCCATACAAAGTCTGTAAATATCCTCCATATATATGGGGACTGTACTGTACTTACTGTGTTTTTCATTAAGGAAGTCTATCACTCTAAAGGCAGTAGATCCTGTCTAATCATGGAAGCTAACCAGGGTCAGCCCTGGTGAGAAATTAGATGGGATATCACCAATACTACTAAAAGCTGTATGCTATATTTCAAAGAAAGGAATTAGCCAACCACTTCTGAGTATTATTTTTTCCTAAGAAAACTCTATGAAATGCATGGGATTGCCATTTGAAGGCACATGCAAATACACATACACATCTCATATTTTAGGAGCCTGAATTAAAATATATACTCCATCTCTCTGTGTATATTAAACATTCCTATTATACTGAACCTCTCCCCCTTTTTACTATGCACCATTTCTCCAAAGAGCAGATCTGTACAGAAAAGGACTACATGGTAGAACACTTGCCTGATTTCTGCATCACCTATATCTAGTTGTGTACTATGTCCCAATACCACCTATGCGTGCTGCTACTTGTATCAGCGTGCCTATAAACAGACCACACTCATTCCCTATTACCTCAATTACTTCAACAATCTATGTTCCTCAGGTAACATTCCTAGCTTTAAAAAAAAAAAAAAAGCAGAAATCAGGACTGAAAGTGCCAAACCCTCCCTACCAGCATTTGCAATAAATAAAATGATAACATGATTGATATATTAGAAAAATATATAAACTTTACATAGATGAGCATCACTCCAATGAGGCAGATAGATAGGTAGATACCGTCGTGGTTTCTGGCCACATAACAGAACTCTGTAAATAAGACTCATTCAACTGCAATTACTAAGCC